TCTATCTTTTAGACCATCCATGATAGCATCAAGTGTTTCAAGGGCACATGAATTCACAATTTCTTTTTTAATGGAAGGAGCTAGTAATTTGAGATTCCCCGGAGCATTTTCCATCACAACTTCTCTAACTTTATCATTATTATCTGCAAGGAATTGCAATAACTCCAAGTAATTTCCCCTATTGCTTGAAGTGGCACTTTCATCATGGCCACGAAAAGGAAGACCTTGTCGCAATAAAAACTTAGTGCACTTGATTGAAGCAATCAAGCATGTGCGATAAGCCTTACGAGCTTGGTCAGAGTGTTTGCTCACTGCCGTTTCAATATGTGTAGCTTGATTCATCAAATTTGTAGCAGCTTCTCTAGCCTTATTATGAACACTCCCAACCGGTCCAACATGCATCTTAAATCTTTCTCTCCCTTTCTTCCAATTCTTAAATCCATCTCCAGTGAAAGCTTCACTACCCACTTGTTCAAAATTGGTTTTAAAGAGATAGCAATAGAGACAAAATGCCGCATCTTTAGATACACTATACTCCAACCAAACAAACTCATCAAACCATTGGGGAATGAAGCGTCGATTAATTCCCGACATATTAGTTATTTAGAAATTATGACCTCTAGGTTGACAAGGTCCTTTTTGTAGATATAATCTTCGGACCTCATCTCTCATTTTAGCGTCATAATCTATTATTCGAGTTCTTAATCCAGGATCCGCTTGAAGATTACCCAAAACATCATCTAACTGACTTTGTCTTGAACTTGGAGTTCTTGAACTACCAACAGTATTTGAACTATCAACATTATTCGAACTACCCGAACCCGATGATGACTTTCTCTTAAAAAACCGTTCCATAATAATGCTTGCTACATATACAAAATATTCAAAATAAATACTCACAATATAAACAAACCATAAACATAATCAAAATAAATATGAATTGGATTTCAATTAAATTAAATATCTCATCTTGCATTCTACATATACAAAATAATGAAAATAAAAACTCACAATATAAACAAACCATCAATATAATCAAAATAAATATGAATTGAATTTCAATTAAATTAAATATATTCTACATATACAAAATATTCAAAATAAATACTCACAATATAAACAAACCATAAACATAATCAAAATAAATATGAATTGAATTTCAATTAAATTAAATATCTCATCTTGCATTCTACATATACAAAATAATGAAAATAAAAAATCACAATATAAACAAACCATCAATATAAAAACCATCAATAAAAACAAACCAATAAAAACTCACAATATAAAACAAATCATCAATATAAACAAACCATCAATAAAAAACTCACAATAAAAACTCACAAAATAAATATGAATTGAATTTCAATTAATTAAATATATTCTACATATACAAAATATTCAAAATAAATACTCACAATATAAACAAAGGGAGGAGATGGAGTTGGAGCCGCCAGCAGAGGAGCAGCAAGGGAGGAGATGGAGTTGACGTTGAGGGTTTGGGAGCAGCAGCATCAAGGGAGGAGAGGAGTTGAGGGTTTGGGGGAATTGAGTTAGGGTTGGAGGATGAAAAATTGGGGCTTTTGATTGTATAGGAGTCAGGTAGGAAGGCTGGGACTGGGGGGGACACGGTGGGAATTTTTTTTGTTCGGCCTGGCCCAAAACGACGCCGTTTTGGCCAGGTCATTTAAAAAAATTTCCTGGGCCAAAACGACGCTGTTTTGCCCGTCTGTTTTGAAAAAAAAGAAGTGCGCGCGAGCGCTGCTTCTTCTTCCTCTTCCTGCCGAGCTTCGTTCAGGATTTTTGTCGAACACTTGGCGAGCGAGTCCGACCCCGACGACCCCAGCTCCAAGAGGTCGCATATGGGAGCTTCAAGGTTGTTTCCATGGTTTCCAAGGGGTCGTGCGACCCCGACGACCCCACTGTGGATCCGCCCCTGATCACACATGATAGCATGTTCCATAGCCAGACTATAACATATGTATATCCAATTTGAGATTGAAAAGTCACATGACACTTCAACTAAAGCACATAAATTTCAAGGATACATTAGTTCTTCTGCATCAAATATTCCAAAACTTCATTGAACTATAAAACTTAAGTACACAGGTTTTTCCACTTGATTTCACACCCCTTCAACTATGGGATGCTTTGTATTTATAAGCTGTTCACGATTACATCAGAGGGTTTGAAAACCCTGATTACAAGGAGATTTGAAATTCAAAATACAAAACAGAAAAGCAACAAGTTACGTATATCAAAAAGTATATCCTACAAACAAGAACTGGTAATCAGATAACACTTTGAAACTAAAACAAACTCCTCAAATCTCGGTTGACTCCTTAAAGCTCGGTAGATGAAACTGCAGGTTGACTTTGTCTAACATCCCCCCGCAAGCTAACAGGTGGGGGAACAACTGGAAGCTTGGAGACAAGAAATTTAAATCGTGAAGAAGATAGTCCTTTAGTAAAAATGTCAGCAAGCTGGTCCTGAGAACACACATAACTTACGAACAGCTGCTTACGAACCACCTTCTCACGAACGTAATGGTAGTCGACCTCCAGATGCTTAGTGCGCGAGTGAAAAACTGGATTGGACGCCAGAGCAATCGAAGAAATATTATCACACCAAATGGTTGGTGGAACCAGATGCAAATGGAGATCTTTATATAGAGACCGTAACCAGGATAATTCTGCAGCCGTATAAGCTAACTGCCTATACTCCGCTTCTGCACTCGATCGTGATACTGTCTTCTGCTTCTTGGAACTCCAGGAGACAAGGTTGGAACCCAAATAAACACAGAAACCACCCGTAGAGTGACGAGTATCAGGATTGCCAGCGTAATCGGCATCAGAATAAGCTGTCAACGTAGCAGTTCCCGGTTTGTACAGTAAGCCATGATTATAAGTAGCCTTCAAATACCGTAGAATTCTCTTGACCGCCATCCAGTGGGTATTTTTCGGAGAATGCATGAACTGGCAAATTTGATTCACAGCGTAGGATAAATCAGGTCGTGTGATTGTGAGGTACTGGAGTGCCCCCACAACACTGCGATACAACTCCGAATTGGCGTAAGGATCTCCAACATAAGCACTCAGTTTCTGCCCAGACGAAACGGGAGTAGAAATAGGTTTTGCAGCTGTAAATTTTGTGCGAGTGAGGAGGTCCAGGGCATACTTAGACTGACACAGATGCATGGCATCACCATTATACTTTACTTCAATGCCCAAGAAATAACTCAGCGGTCCCAAATCTTTCATTGAAAACAAACTACCAAGTTTCTTAATCAAATGAGCCATCTGTCGTGGACTGTTCCCGGTGATGAGAATATCGTCTACATAAATGAGCAGAATAATATATACACCCCGTTTGTTAAACACAAACAGACTGTACTCACAGGTAGATTCGTCAAACCCCAGTTGGAACAAGAAATCAGAGAACCGTTGAAACCAAGCCCGAGGTGCTTGTTTGAGACCGTAAAGAGATCGTTGCAGCTTACAAACATGATGAGGAAACTGTTTGTCAATGAACCCCGAAGGTTGTTTCATGTACACATGTTCATGCAAGTACCCATGCAGAAACGCATTCTGTACGTCAAGTTGGCGTACAGGCCACTTCTTTGACACAGCCAGACTTAAAACAAGTCGAATGGTGCTATGTTTTACCACAGGACTGAAAGTCTCGGTGTAATCCACACCAGCTTTCTGATGAAACCCATTCGCCACTAATCGAGCTTTATGACGCTCAATAGTGCCATCGGCTCGACGTTTAATTTTGAAGACCCACTTGTTTGGTAGAACATTCATTTGAGAACTGTACGGAACTAAACTCCATGTTCCACACCTTTGGAGGGCATTAAACTCCTGCACCATAGCTTCCCGCCACTCCTGATGTTTGACTGCCTGACTGAAACATGTAGGCTCAACAAGAGAGTTATTAACGGCAACATGCATGGCATATTTTGGATTAGGTTTGAGAACCCCGGATTGAGAGCGTGTAGTCATAGAATGTCCAGTAGCACTGGGCACAGTTTCTTGCACGGGATGGGCATTTACTAAAACTTGCTCATTTGACGGTGGGGAGGGTCCTAAAGGTAGGTTAGGTTCTAAAGGTGGATTGGACTGGGTTAAGGTTTCAGTAGTGGGTGCTGTAGTTTGGGAAGAGGTTACATCAGGATAGGATTCTATGGCGGCTGCAAGACTAGGGGCAGAAAGGACTTGTTGGGGTGGTGCAATATTAGTGAATGTAGGACTCTCTGGAGAGGTGGTGGGTAACGGGAAGTTAAATAATAAAGAAGGTAAAAAATGGTTACCTTGTGCATCGACACTTTCAGAAGGAGGTGTGAGTCCCTTAAAAGGGAAAGAGTCCTCATCGAATAGAATATGGCGAGACAAATAAACTCGTCTTGTGGACATGTCCAAGCATCTGTAGCCTTGATGGTTCAATGAATATCCAATAAAAACACATGACTTCGACTTTAGTTGTAATTTATTTTGAGTGTATGGTGTTAACCAAGGAAAACAGCGGCAACCAAACACCTTGAACATCTCATAATTTGGTTTTCTTTGAAATAATTTCTCAAACGGAGATGTATTAGACAAGACACGGGTAGGTAATCGATTTATTAGATATGTGGCAGTGGAGCATGCATCAAACCAAAAAGTAGTCGACATGAAAGACTGAGCAAGCATAACCATTGCCGTTTCGACAATGTGTCGATGTTTTCGTTCAGCTAAACCATTTTGTTCAGGATGTTTAGGGCAAGAAAACCGTTGTGAAATACCATGAACATCAAGAAACCTTTGGAAAGAGTGACTCTTATATTCTCCACCTTCATCACATTGAAGAGTTTTTATGGATGTATTAAACATATTCTCCACTTTGGCTTTAAATTTGACAAATATCTCAAAAACTTCAGATTTTTGTTTCATTGGGAAAATCCATGAATAACGCGAATAATCATCCACAAACAACAAATAATAACGAAAACCTTCATTAGAACGAATTGGAGAACACCACACATCGGAATGGACAAGTTGGAAAGGAAATTTAGACCTAGACTCGGACAATTGGAAAGGTAATTTAGTACTTTTTCCTAAAGGACAGGACTCACAAAAACGTACATCGGAGGTACCATGAATTGGTACCAATTTATTTGAAACTAGAAGATTTATTATTGGTTTCGCAGGATGACCAAGACGTTCATGCCACCGTTGAACCGACACTCTAACTCCCACACATGCACTAACAGAATGCTTGAGACAGCCACTGCCATTTGGAAATGGGTACAACCCATTCTCACACCTCCCTCGGAAAAGCGTCTTCCGTGTCTTGATGTCCTTAACAAGGAAAAAATGGGGAAAGATGAGTAAGTAACAGTCATTATCTAGTGTAAACTGATGAGCGGAAAGGATATTAGTGGATGCAGTTGGGCAATGAAGAAGGTCACGTAAAACAAATGAGCAAGATTTAGTATTAAGTTGACTTGAACCATAATGTGCAATTGAGATACCGGTGTTATTACCTACACCTCCTACTCCTTCATTACCGTGATACTCTTTGGGATTGGCCAGATTCTGAATATCAGGAGTAATGTGTGCATTAGCACCTGTGTCGAGGAGCCAAGACCCATTCTGCTGTTTGTTTAGAGTGATCGGGGAAGAGGTCATTGCAAAGAGTCGTTTGGCCGGGATTCGTCCTTCAAATGCAGTGTTCATACGTTGGTAGCAGTCCAATGCAGGATGACCTGGTTTGCCACATATTTGACAAATAATTCTATCACCACAGGAAACAAACCTGTCGCCAGTACCTTGGTTGTTCTGTGAAGCATTGTTGTGACGAGGGTTGGGACCTCGTTGAGCACCACCACGGTTTGAGAAGTTCCCTCGTCCACCACCACGAGGGCAACCACCCCCACGTCCTTTGGAAGCCACGAAGGCATTAACAGTGGCTCCTTCAACCAACGGGACATTGTGTTCCGCCAGTCTCCTTTCTGTTGTCAGCAGCAATGATTCAAGAGTAGGATATGGGATGGGATTGTCGCGAGCTTGTGCAGCACTCACAGTCATCTCGTACGCTGGTCCAAGATTATTCAACACAATCTGGACCAGTTCGTCATCACTTACAGGTTGCCCAGCAAGGGCAAGGTTGTCAGCAATCGCGTTCATGCGATCAAGGTAATCCGCCACAGATAGATCACCCTTTTTGGTCTGCAACAATTCATTTCTCAGAAATAGAATACGATTTTGGGACGTGGATGCATACCTTTGCTCCAAAGCTTCCCAGGTAGCTCGAGCAGTTCTTTTGCTGGCCACCACAGACAAGACAGACGCAGTCAGAGATCCATTAATCCAGCTGAGGATCATCTGATCTTGTTGCACCCACGTTGTGTACGCCGGACAAACGGTTGTCGATCCAGCAACATGCTTTGGGGGACACACCAAGGTGCCATCAACATACCCCATCAGGTCCCGGCTTTTTAGAATAGGGAGAATTTGAGCCAACCACAGTGGGTAGTTGGTTCTATCTAGTTTGATGTTTACGATGGTGGAAAAAGGTTGGAAGGTGGTTTGGGGGTTGGGGTGGATAGCAGGGACATTGTTTTCAGCCATGGAAGCGATGATGGAAAGAAGAATTGGTTAGGATCTTTGTCGTTAGACAAAAAAGGCTCTAGAGACCATATAAAACTTAAGTACACAGGTTTTTCCACTTGATTTCACACCCCTTCAACTATAGGATGCTTTGTATTTATAAGCTGTTCACGATTACATCAGAGGGTTTGAAAACCCTGATTACAAGGAGATTTGAAATTCAAAATACAAAACAGAAAAGCAACAAGTTACGTATATCAAAAAGTATATCCTACAAACAAGAACTGGTAATCAGATAACACTTTGAAACTAAAACAAACTCCTCAAATCTCGGTTGACTCCTTAAAGCTCGGTAGATGAAACTGCAGGTTGACTTTGTCTAACATGAACACCTTCTGAGATTTCCCACCAGTGGCAGTAGCCTTCTTAGCATCTTCCCCCACCTTCCTAGCCAAACCCCTAAGCTTCTTGTCTTCCATCAACTCCACAATCTTCCTTCCTATCTCTTCCCCACCCACCACCACCCCTCCAACCCCCCAACCCCAACTCCTCTCCCATATTCCCAACCCCGCCTTCTCCACCACCTCCGCATTCACTCACTGATCTCCATGCTGCGGCCAGGCCAGCACGGGTACCCCTTTTCTCGCCGCCTCCATAACCGAATTCCACCCGCAGTGACTCACAAACCCGCCAACAGCCGCGTGCTCGAGAATGTCCTGCTTGCTCACCCACCCCTTCACTACTACTCCTCTGCTTTTTGTCCTTTCCAAAAACGGCTCCCCAAGCAGGTTTTTCAGATCTTCCTTGTCCTCTTTGTCGACCTTACTTGTTTTGAGCACCCACAAAAATCTATATCCACTCCTCTCCAACCCATCTGAGAGCTCTTTAATCTGCTCATTCGACATTGCTGTTCTGCTTCCGAAACTCACGTAAACTACTGTCTCTGCCGGCTGGCTGTCTAGCCATGACAGATAGTTTCCGTCTTCTTCCTGCTCCTTCTTGGCCTCGAAGGTATCTAACGGTCCGATCGGAAGAATCGGTGGGAGATTTTCTAAAACTCTCCCACTGTTTATAGCTGCTAGAGTTTCCAGTTCGAAATCTTCGAAAGTGTTCATTAGGATCCCTTTGGACTTGGACAAAGCTCGAGAATTTGTGGCGATTATTGATGTGAAAAGATGATTAGGGTTTTTTAATGGAAGAGGAATGCTACCTATAGGCAATGAAGTGATTCCGGGGACGTTGACTTCTGTGAGATCGCTTGCAAAACAGGAAGGGTTTGATAGAAGGGTTGGGAGGTAGGCCATGAGGCAGGAAAATTTACATGAGGTGGTAAAGATGATGTAGTTGGGGACGCCGAGGTTGGCCGCGACTGGGGCAATTCTAGAAGCCACTGTAAAGTCGGAAAATATAGCTGAGACGGGTGGGGATGAGGCGGCAAGCGAAGGGTAGAGAAGGTGGACGGAGCGGGTGGTGGCTTCGAATTGGAGGAAGAAAGGATCGTCGGTGGTGGGATTGGGGGAGGAAATGACTTGGAACTCAATGTGGTTGACTTTTGGATGTTGGGATAGAAAGAAGGAAATGTGGGCGGACTCGGCGGCGGAGACAGAAGGGCGGGCGGTGATCAAGCTGACGGTGCAGTTCCGAGAGGAGAGCATGGCGGCGACGCGGAGGAAGGGGGTCAAGTGCCCCATTCCGGCACTAGGCAATAGGGCTATGTGAGGAGGAGGAGGAGGAGCTGCGGTGTTTGACATGGTGGTGGGAAAGAGGTAAAGATGCCAGAAGAGTAGATTAACAATGAATACTTACATGTATCAGTAGCGTTCTTATTTAATTATAGTCACCATTTGGAAAATGAGTAGATTTTTAATCACTTGTTTGACCAAACCTTCTCCACAAAATCCAAGGATTTGGTTTTGTCGGAGTAGGATTTTCTCTTCTCTTTTTTTTATCTTGTGTTGACTTCTTTATAAAAAGAGAAAGATAAAGCAAAAAGTGTAAGAGGAGGAGAGAGAATGAGATAAAAATAGAACGTGAGAAAATCCTAATCCAGTTTTGTCAATTATAATGACTTTAGTTGATGGAATGCTTCAATTTCTTCAACAATGCTTTATTTTAAACTAGTCTAATCTAATGTATAGAAAGAGAGATCGAACTCGAGTATAAGGCGGCATATTTACTGTCTTACTTAACCGATTTAATGTACATTTGCAACCTATAACTCTTTCTTTGATACTATATAAACTTATAACGCACATCTACTACCTCACCCGACATCCACATGTAGAAAATTATTCAAAAGAAATCTTTACATATAACAAGGTCTCTTTCATAACGTGACACATTTCATAAGCATATACTTACAAATTAATGACTATGTACAACAATGCTTTATTTTATATTAGTTTAATGTATTGAAAGAAAGATCGAACTCGGGTATAAAGAGGCGTATTTACTGTCTTACCAAACCGACTTAATAGACATTTGCAACCTATAGCTTTTTATTTGATCCTATATGAACTTACAACGCACATCTATTAACTCACATGGTGTCAATAGATAAAAAATTATACAGAATAATTTTTTACATATAACAAGGTGTCTCTTTCGTAACGTGACACATAAATTGACATAAATTAATTTTATCGACTCTTAGTGTACTGAGAGTTGTTTATTAGTCTATGATTAATTAATGTCAAGTGGTATTTATTAGGGAACTTTAACGAAAAACTCTCGGTACTGTTCATTTTAACGAAAAACCACATTTTTACATTAAAAAGTCAATTCTGGTACTATTTACTTTACCCTTTATTTTGACTTTATCGTTAAAACTCAAAGTTTTCAAACCATTTTCATTAGTTTTCTTATTTATTATTACTAATAGGTTATACTAGGTTAGTGTACATCATTGACTAAATCAATCACTTGACCCTATCAAAAGAAAAAATAAAAAAACAAGGACCCGACGCAGGTTAACGTAATCGGGTTCTACAAATGTGCCCAGTGGGCCCTGGTGATGGCTGAAATCAGAGCCCAAACCGTCTGTACTTCTGATGCTTGGTATAAACGACGTCGTATGGATAAAGTTCTATCATCGAAACGCTATCCGAAACGAGAAAAAAGCGCCCACTGCTCCTCTGGTGCTGCTGAGCCTCTCACTCTCCGTCGTCCGCCGCCTTGGCTCCAAAATTACTGCAAAAATAAATAAATAATGAGCGCCTGCAAAACCCTAGTCCGTACATCTCTCTCCTCAATCACCTCCACCCTCCGAACCAATCGACCCACCGTCTCTCTCCTCCACTCCCCCTCCCTCCGCTTCTCTCCGCTTCCTCCCAACCAAGGTACTCTCTATCTCTCTCTCTCGCTCGACACTCATACGCACATTTCTAACTCAATTTTGTGATTTGAATTTGAAATTAGCGCTCAGGCTTGCTCCGTACAATGTTCCTTCGCGGCCGTACGCTTCAATTTCATCCGAAGCAGCCGCCGCAGATTTCACAGACGAAGCTCACTCCGCGGACTCAACCCTAGAACCGCCGGAGAACCCGACGCAGGACACCGTGGAGGAGCTTCTGAGGAAGAAAAACGACGTCGCGCGCCTGATGAAAATGGAACGCCGCCACGAGTCCGCGCACCAAACCGGCGGTCGGTGGTTCCCATATCTCGACAAGTTCAGCTGCGGTGAAGGTGCTTTTCTCAACAGCGGTGAGGTGCTTGAAGCGGTGGATCCGTACATAATGGATGTGAGGAAGGAGAAGTTTAGGAAAGTGGTGAAGAATCGGAGCTACGGGGTGTGTCTGGTGGTTGAAGGATTGGGAGATTTCGGCAATGTATCCGCGGCGTTTCGATCTGCGGATGCGCTCGGGTTTCAGTCGGTTCATGTGGTATCCTGCGACTCCAAAAGGTGCAACGGCATTTGAGGTGAAAGGGGTCTGGTTTTAGTTTAAAATTTTGAAAAGAAAAAAAACCAGAAAGAAGATTTCTTTTTTTTCTAAATTGTTTGTTGGTATGTGGTTGTTTAGTGAATTGGTAATCAGGGTTGGCTTTGTTTAATTTGTATTAGTAAGTTTAATTGAAGTTGTCCGGTTCTTAGTTGTCGAATTAACTTTGTTAACCTCAGCTTGATCTTGTTTCAGATATAGAGACAATCGCCATGTCAGTATGGGAGCGGAGAAATGGTTGGACATTGAAATTTGGAACTCTACTGCTGAGTGCTTTGAAGTTCTGACATCGCGAGGGTATCGAATTGCCACAACGCATTTGGGAACGGACTCGGTAATTATCCACTTTCTTCTGCTGTGTATTTTGTTTGTTTTGAAAAGATGTTCCACAGTTTTAATCTCAAGCACGTATCTCAGTTATTCTTCCATTTTTGTATTTTAAGGTGTCTATACGACATGGATTGGTCTTGCCCAACTGCGATTGTAGTCGGAAATGAAAATAGGTATTACAGGTTTTCCTATTTAGTGATCATTATATTTTTCGATATCATCCAAGCGGGTTCTTTGTTCAGTTTTAAGCTGATACACTTTTGTGTCTCTGTGATCAATATCAAATTTTTGGATATACTTGTACATCTGATGAAGGATTTAGAAATTCAACCAAGAAAAAGTTAATAACATCAAGAAAATTACATCTTAGATATGTTCTTCCTCGATGTTAATTTGAGTGCAATGTCTAATTTAGGGGAATAAGTGATGAGGCCCTCGCTTTGTCAGATTTGCATTGCAGTATTCCGATGAAAGGCATGGTCGACTCTTTCAATGTTTCAGTTGCTGCAGGCCTTCTCATGCACCATGCAGTTTGTGATAGAACATCTCGCCTGGTAACGACTCGACTGTTATTCTTTCTGTACTGAATAATGCATCCACTCCTGTTATCGTTTTTCTTTTTATTTGGGAATTTGCATTCATGACTATTTTATTCATCTTCATTGCTTGGATTTTTACAATGGAAAGGGCATTGACAATAAATTACAAGAAAATCATAAAACCCTACATTTTATGCCGGCTATTGATGTCGTTTTGGAAATTCATTCTTCTGAACTTTATATATGTGCAATTGAACTTCCATTTTGCATTGCATTATGTTAAGCCAGAATCAGTTTTCGACCCTCTTTTCTTCCCTCATTCTTCTACAATCATGTGTCTATGGGTCAAGACTACAGCAACATTCATGTCAAAGTTCGTATCAAGCACTAGATAATTTGCAACTCAATTTCACTATATCGTACAAAGCAGCTGCGTGCTTACTCAAGTTTCAAGCATTAGATGTTAATATTTGTTGCACACAAATATACAGGGTAGCCATGGGGATCTGACATTTGAAGAGAGCCAAATTCTACTCGCTGAATTCTCTCTGCGGCATAGCAAGAGTTCAATGAGCATCGCACGCGAGTATGTAAAGCGGAAGGCATCTCTGCTCACGTCAAAGATTTGAGAGACCCTTTTCTGATTTTTGATTGCCCGGATGATGTTAAACAAACGTGATCTCCAAATTTCATATGAGAAAGCAATCACCAAAAGGAGCAGAAGATAACAAGAATTCTCTGAAGCCAACCAAGAGGACAAAGTGGCCATGTCCGATTGAAAGCAAGGCTTGGTGCGACATCACATGCAATGTAGAGAGGGCAGCATGAGAGCTTACCTCGGTAACGAAGCTTGTTCGGGCCAAGAATTGTCTTTTGGTTGTCTATTCTCTCGATGATTCTTTACTTTCTAGCGATGAATCAATGAAATTAATTACCTAGTCGTTCTTCTCCCGTTTTTTCTTTATGGTCAAACAAGATTACTTTGATTAATAACTAGTACAAGGTCTAAAGAGTCAGGTAAACAACAACAAATAAAGTAAAAGGCTCAAACAAAATGATAGCTGCATCACACAACGAGAGGCTCACATCAACAACAACAACAACAACAACAAAGCCTTTTCCCACTAAGTGGGGTCGGCTATATGAATCCTAGAACGCCATTGCGCTCGGTTTTGTGTCATGTCCTCCGTTAGATCCAAGTACTCTAAGTCTTTTCTTAGAGTCTCTTCCAAAGTTGTCCTAGGTCTTCCTCTACCCCTTCGGCCCTGAACCTCTGTCCCGTAGTCACATCTTCGAACCGGAGCGTCAGTCGGCCTTCTTTGCACATGTTCAAAATCACCGGAGCCGATTTTCTCTCATATTTCCTACAATTTCGGCTACTCCTACTTTACCTCGGATATCCTCATTCCCAATCTTATCCTTTCTCGTGTGCCCACACATCCCACGAAGCACCCTCATCTCCGCTACACCCATTTTGTGTACGTGTTGATGCTTCACCACCCAACATTCTGTGTCATACAACATCGCTAGCCTTATTGCTGTCCTATAAAATTTTCCCTTGAGCTTCAGTGGCCTACGACGGTCACACAACACGCCGGATGCACTCTTTCCATCCAGCTCGTATTCTATGGTTGAGATCTCCATCTAATTCTCCGTTCTCTTGCAAGATAGATCCTAGGTAGCGAAAACGATCGCTTTTTGTGATCTTCGCTAGATTGCTCCGGTCATTAGTGTGGATAAGTATATAAATGGATAGAGATAGGAAAACAAACACAAGATGTACGTGGTTCACCCAGATTGGCTACGTCCACGGAATAGAAGAGTTCTCATTAATTGTGAAGGGTTTACACAAGTACATAGGTTCAAGCTCTCATTTAGTGAGTACAAGTGAATGATTTAGTACAAATGACATTAGGAAATATTGTGGGAGAATTATCTCGTAATCACGAAACTTCTAAGTATCGGAGTGTGGTGTCGTCTTGACTTGCCTTATCTGTCTCATAGGTAGATGTGGCATCTTCTCTGGAAGTACTCTTCCTCCATCCAGGGGTGGTATCTTTAAC